ATATTTTCATTAACTTATCAGGATACAACCTTTCTTTATGTGTGCTTCTTTTAAAGAATTATTTATATTTATCTATTATATTTAATATTAATCTATCATATTTAATATTTATCTATTGATTCATTAACATTGTATTCATACCCAATAGCACCATAACTCAAGGCTGAAGGAAGCTTCTCTAACACACATAGTTTCTATGTAAGGTACATCATAACCTTTCTTCACTTAGAAACACTAGACATCACTTCAGTACCACACTTGAAGGCCATTTTCAACAGTGAAATCATCCAAAATGAGCCCCAAAATGCAAAATATACAATGCTAAATATACCACAAAAGGACATTTGTTTACAGCTTCAAAGAGAGAGGGAAGTGATGCAAAAGAACAGGGAAAGTAGAAGAAAATATAATTCCTGGATTTGAGACCTCCTTCTCCCATTTTTTCATTGTGTAGGCTTAGGAAAGTTACTTAGTGACTCCATGCCTCAATTTACCTGTCTCTGAAATGAAGATAATACTGTCACCTACACAGTCTGCCAAAAAATTGTATACAAGTTTCAGAAAAAGAAAAACTTGTATAAATACTAAATGTAGAGACATCATAAGATTAAAACAGTTACACCTTTGGCCTCTACAATTACAAGAGATCCTCAAAGTGGTGGCCATTTTTCAGACATTTATTAGTATGTCAAACTGCTGCTTGGGTAACCTTGGTCACTCAGATTGCTGCATATGCATTTTCAATTTCTTCTCTAAAGGCCGGCAGAATAGCGGGTTTTCTGCAATACACAACATCCTCTAGGGTCCCCATGCAAGGTTAACATCATCTATTGAAAAAAATCATACTCTTTTTCTTTTCCTTAAGTGTTTATACACTTTTTGGTGGACTCCGAACTTGATGTGTTTGTAGTAAATATTAAAAGGCAATACAGGGACCAGGGATTTAGCTCAGTGGTTCCGCCTCCTGCCTCGAAAGTGGAAGGACTCGAGTTTGATCCCGGGTTCTCAAAAAAAAAAAAGAAAAGAAAAAAAAGGTAATACATAAAAAGTGTTTGGTACAGTGCCTGGTACATAATAAACACAATTATTTAAGTGTCAGCTTTAAAAATAATGTTATGACTCATTATCTTAAACCTTCAGTAAAAATATATGACAGCCAAAGTATGGGTATTCAATGACTGTAGATTTCATTCACCTTTCTCATTCTCACTCTTCTCTCTTTCCCTCCCCGACTCTTTTCTTCATCATCTTCATTGCTTCCTTCTTTCCTATGCCTCAGATGTCCCAGGGGCCTACCCAGAATTTTGGAAGGTCCTTTCTTTTGAAGAGTTTGCTGAACTGAAGGTACAGTTTGTTCTAGAGGCAATCTGCTCTTTGACGGCACTTTCAAGATGTGCTTTAAGAAAAGACCGGTCAACTTCTGGAACTGTCCCTCTCCCCCGTCACACTCCCACTGGCTGCCTCCACCAACCACCTAAGGGCAGAGAAACCCTTCTTAATAACCACACAGCTCTGCTCAACTGATTCCTTCTAGGCCAGCAAGGAAATATGCAGACTTTGTCTTGCTACACAACTTCAGTTTTTAGTGGGTCACTAAAGAAGGGAGGCTTAGGACAAATGAAGAGATTGGAAGGCAGATGAGCAACAGGGAATGTCATAGCTGGAACCTTCTCTAAACAAGGCTCCCAAGTACACATACAAGCTGGAGAATACAGAGAGGACGTTAGGGTCAGAACTATGGAGTAGAAGGAATGAGACACCACTGCCACTGACAAACTAAAATTCTTTCCGCTGGGAATGGGGAAGGGGTTGGTAACAGAGACATCAAGCCAGCTCAGAGTGGCAGGGATTTCGCTGGCAAGATGAGAATTCCTTCCTGCCAAACTCCACAGGGCCAGGGTTGCCAGGGAACACACTCACATGGTGCAGGATATGTTTTGTTTTGTTTTTTGATACTGGGGCTCGAACTCGGGTCCTTGCGCTTGCGCAGCAGGCGGCGAAACCACGGAGCTAAATCCCCAGCCCAGGGCATGTTTTTCGACCCATCTTCCCAGGGAAATGTGGGTGGCACATTTGGGGGCTGGCAGAAGCCCTGCCTCTGATCTCTTTGGAGCTTCCTCATCTTTCTGATCAAGACAAGAAGCCCTTTTTCATGGTTTTTATAGTACTTGTTTCCAGTTACTTCCAATTAAGTAGAAAGTGCTTTAACAATGTACTGACGTCATTGAAAAAGATAGTTTAGGGCAGAGAAAACATCAAATACTTCCCAGATCTGACACATTTAACCACTGCAAACTATATTTGATAGCTACATCGACCATTAGTCCTTGATACACCACATCTGTCTCCAGCTGTAATAATAATCACCGCCCCTTTCAAGGATCTGTGCTGCAAGCGTCACATTAGACACTTCCTAGAGTCTATTTCACTTAATCTTCCCCCAAATCCTGGGAGGTTGATGGTACCACCCATTCCCATCCTACAGTTAAGAAAATTATGGAAATAACTTGCCAAAAATCATGTGGAAAGTAAGGGGCTGAGCAAGAAGTCAAACCAAGTCAGTCTGGCTTTAATATCTGCATCCTTTCCACTCTATTGGATGTAACCAGATTATTATACAGCTTGCACTCAAGGGAATACAAACCCAAAATGGCTTGATTTCTCCCAATCCCAGCTGCCAACTGTGCTACACTGAATCATATTTTACTCTTCCATAAAAGTATCTGGGCAGATTCTACAACTATTCAATTACTTTCAGTTGTTAGGACTCTCATTCCAGTATCTGAGTTAAAGCTATTCTAAATTCCAGTCTCATATCTGTTTAAGGCTCTTCTCCCTCCCTCTCCCAGGACAGGACAGGCTGCTGGTCATGGCCTGGCGAGAGCAGGGGACGAGTTCAGCTTCCCTCTCCCCATGCACTCTGTGCCCAGGGCATCTCCACCCTCCTCCATCATCCCAGCCTTCAGTGCACCTGCGCGTGACCACAGGGAAGGGGGTGGTCTGAGGAGAGGCGGCAGGGGCTAATGTGTGTGAGCAGCTGCCTGGAGAGGTGGACAGCTTTCGGGGATTCCCAATCCAGCTGGTTCACTCTAATACTGCTGGCCTCACTAATCTGATGGATCCTACTCGAAAGGCATGTGTGGTTGACTTGGAGAGATGTTCTGCTTTCCTCTAGCTTCATTCTAGATCCATCCATGACAGAGGATGCCCAGTCTTCTGTTGATTTTATCACAGATCTGGAGCCAAAATGTTCTCTTCTGACATCTTATAACCCTGTCTGAGCTATGGCAAGGTTTAAATAAACCAAGCAGGGAGAATGATATGTACCTGGATCTTCTAATGCTGTAGTTGTTTACTTGTCTAGATTCTCATAGGCACTCCTGAACTGCAGAAATTAGGAAAGGTGAGCTAACATTTGTTTAAGCTGCAAGAACTCAAAGTATTTTGTTCTCTCTTCCCTTTTGCCATCACTGGAAGAAACTCCAACATTAACTTCACCCAACAGAGGATTAAGAGATGGAGGAAAGAGGAGGAAGGAGAGGGGAGGGGGATGTAAAAAGAAGTAAGATGTGTTATGGTGTACCAGTACCCCGTGATAAATGTAATCATTATGTAGTGCAAACATGTACTAATAAAAATAATTTTTAAATAAGTGCAATAAAAAATTTTTAAAGTAGTACGTGAAAAAATTATCTGGCAAAATGACAATTCAGTCATGTATCCCTTAAACAACAGGGATATGTCCTGAGAAATGCATTGTAGGTTGATTTCATCACGGTGTGACCATCAAAGAGTATAGTTACATGAACCTAGATGGTATGGCCTACTACACATGTAGGCCATATGACACATATATAGTGTAGCCTGTTGCTCCTCAGACCATGACAAATAAGACAATGCAAGATTTAATCAAACACAAGAGAAAATGATGCAGTCAGATGCAATAAACACGAAATACAGAGAGCTGCTGCCAGCATAATATACCGATTTACAGGAAGCTTTTTATAAGTAGGAATGTGCTTTGAAAGAATGATGAAGAGTATAGAATAGTAAATACATATACCAGTAACATAGTTGTTTATTATTGTCAAGTATTATGTACTTCCATAATTGTACATGCTATATTTTTACATGACTGGCAGCACAGTAGGTCTATTTACACCAGCATCACCACAAACACGTGAGTAATGCACTGTGCTATGACACATGATGGCTACGACATCAGTAGGTAATAGAAATTTTTAAGCTCCATTATAATCATATAAGACTACTTTCATATCTGCAGTTCATCATTGACCTTAATTGTACCACATTCACTATAACTAAGACCAGACAAATACAGTGTTTATGTTATAGAACAGAATGAAATGTGTTAGAAGCCCTCATATGCACTAATTACAATTAACAACAGTGAGATGGGGGGCGGGGGGAGAAAGTGCTGATTTCCTCACATTATAGAGGCAGAAGTAGCAGGCTCCACTGGGAAGCTACACAATTCCGTCCTTCCTGCTTCTTAACTGGCAGAACTAGGGGCAGATTCTCCCCAGCTCCAGGGAATGGTCTATGATAGTTTCAGTATGTCTTCCTAAATCTATGTCCCTCAGTATTAACCAGTTTTAGCATAAACATATGATTCAGTTCTGGCCATCTGGCCAGTGAGATATGAGGAGTCGCATTTCTCTACTCTTAAGAAGAAATGTGAGAAGAGAAACCATACTTTCCTCTGTCTCTTGCCACAGCTATATAGCTAAGTTCATGCCTGTAAATAAGTGCCACCAAGAAGAGACAACCCTGAGAATGGCAAAGTGGAAAAATTGAACTTTGTTGTTGCTGCTGTTTTGTTTTGTTTTTAAAAACAAGGTCTCTCTTTGTTGTACAGGCTAGCCTCAAACTTGTGATCCTCCTGCCTCAGCCTCCTGAGTAGTTGGGATTATAGATGTCCACCATCATACCCAGAAAAAAATAGAAGTTTTTAAACCTTTTTATATACTTTCTTTTACCTGACTCATATGGGGGTCTCAATTTCTCAACAAATATGCACTTAATGTCTATTCTTCCACAGAGAATGTCCCACTTGTGGATATTCTTGTTTTGTTCCAGAGACAGGAAGGTTAAGTTTATCCCTTAAGGGTATCAATGTTTCAATTTTCAGTGTGATTCTGATCTGTAGAAAAAAAAAAAATAGACAACACTTACTTCTTTTAGAAACTCTCTAAATCATTTTTGTTCTTAAGCAAATCTGTTGCCAAACATCAAAAGTGCTTGGTTTTCTTCATTTGCATGCAAAGATAAACTATTTTTCAAAGGGACTTCTTCTTTTACCAAAAACAAACAAAAATAAGATTCCTAAAGTTTTGTAGGATGTAGCTATATGTCTCCTTCAAACAAAAGAAAGATTTTGCTCGAGTTTAATTTGACTCTCTTTTCTCTTTTGAACCACTATGACAAGTTGCAACCCGCAAATATACTCCTGGAGCGAAGGTGCTGACAGACTTTTATTTACAGGACCAGGAACGTCATGCAATCGGTCTTAGCCAGGTGTGCTAGATAGTTCTGAATTATTTTAAAGTCTCCATAAGGGTTTCATAGTAACACTAATTAAGGGTAATACGGGAGTCTACTTAGGCCATACAGTCTTATGCGTTGGAAACTACCAAACTGTACTGTGCCATCATGTGAACCTGACACTAATAAGATATAAATAAATGTATTTATTAATCTCTATAAACCCGCAAAAGTTTTTAAACACAACAATGTTAAGGAAATGCAAAAAAAAGTTCAGGAAATGCATACATTTCAGCCTTTTCTAGCTCTGACTCCTTTCTTTGTCAGATCCTTTCAGTTTTCAACTGGTTTTTCCAGTAAGAGGAATACCAGCTTTAGGTGTTGTACCAATGTTGAAAAGTTCAACATACCATGACAATGATTGATTGATATATTGCATTATCTACTAACATGAGCTCTCTATAATCGGTTTCATTGTTTCGGGTAGAATAATTAATTTTCAGAGATAAGACTAAGTTTTAATTATAAGGTAAAATCCCCCACTCTTCCGCCTCCACTATCTCAAAAGCAATCAAAAAATATTTTCAGTGGTTTTTGTTTGTTTTCATTATTTCTTCCTAATCAGCTTCTTCCCCAGTTGTAGCCCTAACTCCAGCATTTTATTGGGATTGCCCCACCCCTGTGGACACCCCTCACCTAGCCCTGCCTCCTTCTCCCCCAGGCTCTCTGGCCTCCTTGCTGAGGTGTGATATTCCCACATTAGTCCCTCTGCTCAGAACACTCTCACTCAGAGAGAACAGTACGTCCGGCCTTTGTTCAAAATTCACTTCCTATTGAATTCTTCCTCTAACAGCTCATTTACAATTGCAATGACTCCTCACTCTTGAAATCTATCTCTTTATTTTGATGCCAAAATTAAAAGTGCTCCAAAATCAAAAACAGTTTGGGCCAGGGATTTAGCCCAGTGGCACCAGGCCTGCCTCACAAGTGCAAGGTCATGAGTTTGATCCCTGGTACCAAAAAAACAAAAACAAAATCAAAGACATTTCAAACACTAACATGACCCCATAAGTAGAAAATTCCACACATGACACCTGTTTCACATACAAAATTATATGAAATATTACATAAAATTACTTTCAGGGTATGTGCATAACATATGTATGAAACACAAAAGAATTCTGTGTTTAGACTTAGGTCCTATTCCCAAGATACCTCAGTGTGTGTGTGTGTGTGTGTGTGTGTGTGTGTGTGTGTTACAAATATTCCAAAATCGAAAAACCAATGTGAAACAGGCAACATTTCTGGTCCCAAGCATTCCACATAAGGGATACTCAACATGTGTAAAATTAACTTATTCACTTAGCTCATTGTCCCCATCTCCAATACAGAATGGAATCTCCATGAAGGCAGTGATTTTTAATATGTTTTTCTCATTGTTTATTCAACAGCTAGTGCCAGGTCAGACACCTGCTAAGTGCAAAGGCAACTGCACAGAGATGGGCAGACTGCATCACACAACCCCAGAGGACACCATTCACCAGGCTTCAGTGGCACAATGGTGCAGCCCTGTCAAGGCACACAGTATCTGCCAACTACCTCCTTTAGCTTTTGTAATATAAGAGCATTTAAAAATGATCCAAGTCCATGAAGATTTGTTTTTGTCTCCCTTTTTTTTGCTTTTATGGTTTCATTTTTATGACACAGTAAGCTGGTATTGGACTTTCCACAGAAAGACAATTATCTGATTCCATAAAAACAGAAATCCTAATCTATTTCACGTAAGTCTGTAAGAATCTTCTAAACCATGAGATTTAATAGAATCTATTTTTTCTGCCAGCCCCCTAAAACCGTATTAGTGAACTATCATTCAATGTACATACTTTCCATAGTTCTCCCAAGTTTTCCATATTTTTCTCAAATTAAAATAAATGTGAAAATAGTTCTGCAAAGAATAACTAAGAATCTGAAATTCTAAACCTTTCTGTATTCCATAAGTACAAACCAAGGGAAAGTTGACAAAAATTTTTCTTTTCTTTTCTTCCCTTAATCTTTTGGAAATGAGCTACAGATTCTTCATATGATTCTTCATTCATTCCAATCACTAGAATTACTTGGAAGATTATTCTTTTAAATGTAACACATTACAGCAAACCTCAAATTGATAGATTCCTTGTGGCAGCTGCCAAATCTTAGCTAGGCCATTTGTTTTTCTTTTGTTTTGCATAATTCACATGGATTTGACAATACAATGGTTGGTACTGTACTGAAGCTACATATCCTGAGAGAGGATATTCTGCTTGGCAAGTTAGGAGCTAAATAGGATTACAAATGCCATTTTACACTACATTTCTCATGATTTACATTAGAACATTAGAGTGAGCCTCTACAAAAGGAGTTAGGTCTACTCTCTTAAACATGCTTTACATACACACACACACACACACACACACACACACACACACACACACACACAGAGTCTCATATTTGTTTGTATGCATTCCAAATCTTATGCTTCTTTAATTGTATTACTAATAGCTCCAGCCATCATAATTCTGAGTGCAAAGCAGCCATTCAGAATAAATAATTGTAGAACAGTATGTCACTAGTCGACAAAAACATTTAAGATGATCAATGATTTGGAAAGAAACCACAATAAAACACATTAAGGGGTTTTTTTGTTTTGTTTTGTTACAGGTTTTAAGGGGGGGGGTTATTGTTGTTGTTTTGTTGTGCTAGAGGCAAAGGCAGGATGTTATGTTTGCTAGTGCTCTACCAGTTACATCCCCAGCACTATTACAGCTTTTATTTTGAGATTGCTGTATATTCACATACAGTTATAAGAATACAGAGAGATCCCATAAACCCTTTTTCCAGTTTCTCCCACTATAATATCTTACAAAACCACAGTACAATAGCAGAATCAGAATACTGCCATTTAGAATATAGAGCATTCCATCCTCAGAAGGAGTCCTCATTTTGCTCTTTTACAGTTATCCTCACTGTTTCCCAAATCACCCACCCACCCACTCCTTAAATCCCCTGGCAAACACTATTATGTTGCCCATTTCTATAACTCTGTCATTTCAAGAATGTTGTATAAATAGAATTGTACAGTATATGACCTTTTAAGATTGGAGTTTTTAACTGGGCAGAATTCCCTGGAAATTCATCCAGGTCACGGCCTGTATCAATAATCTATGTTTTTTAATTGCTAAGTAGTGTTCCACAGGAGTGATAGACCACACCTTTTTTTAACCATTCAAGCACTGAAGGACATCTTTGTTGTTTCCAGCTTGAAGCCACTACAAATAAACCTGCTATGCACATTAGTGTATAGACTTTTGTACGAACCTAAGTCTTCATTTCTCAGGCATAACTGCCCAGGAACACAAGAGCTGGGTGGACTGAATGGTAGTCACATGTTTTCTTTCTTAAAGAAACTGCCAAACTCTTTTTCCAGAGTGGCTTCATACTTTTACATTCCCAACAATAGCGTATGAGAGATGAAGATTTTTAACATCCTGACATGTAGTTAGTGTGGTCACCATATTTTATCTTACCCATTGGGATAGAAATGTGATGATATCTCATCTTTCCAGATGTTTATTCCCCACTCGGATATTTTCAGTACAATGTTTTATCTTTTGTCCAAGTCCTGATTTGATTATGCGCTAACTGCCCAGGTTTGAGAGTTTATCTATTCTAGATACCCAGTCCTTTGTTAGATTAGTGATTGTCAAATACTGTCTCTTAATCTGTATCTTTTCATCTTCATGACAAGATCTTCTACAGAGCAAACATTTTTAATTTTACTCCAGTTTATCATTTTTTCTTTTATAGATCATACTCTGGGGTCTAATCTAAGAACTCTTGCCTAGCCCTATCATAAATATTTCTCCTTTTTTTCTCTGCAAGTTTTGTGATTTTAGATCCATGATCCATTTTGAGTTAATCTTCATATAAGATATGAGGCTTAGGTCCAGGATTAGTTTGCTGACAGTGCACATTGCTCCACCATCATTTGTTGAAAAGGCTATCTTTCCTTTATTGCATTGCTTTTTTACCGTCATGAAAAATCATCAGGGCACATTTATGTGGCTATTTTTCTGAGTTCTCTGTTCTGCTCCATTGATCTTATATGTCTGTCCCTCCATCGATACCACAATAAGGCCTGAAATTAAGTAGGCTAATTCATTCTACTTTATTCTCATCTCAGGGGAGAAACATTAAGCTTTTTACCACAAAGTAAAATGTTAACCACTAGTTTCTTGTAGATGCTATTTATCAAATTGAAGAAGTTTGCTTATTCTCATCTTTCTGAGTTACAACCACAATTATTGGATTTGTCAAATACTGTTATACTTCAATTAATAGGATCACGTGACTTTTCTTGTTTTTTCCTTTTAATATAATGGATTAAACTGATTTTCAAATATCAAAGACCCCAGCATCCTAAGAATAAACTTTTCATGGTCATGCTACAGTTTTTTCTATATTGCTGAATTCTATTTGCTAATATCTTGTTAAAAATTTTGGTTGCCTATATTCATGAAGGACATTGGTCTTTAGTTTTCTTTTTCTATATTTTTATTGCCATTAGATACCTGGTAACAAAGCTTCTTAAAAGAAATTAGGGAAATCTCCTCCCCTCTTCTG